TTTCATGATGTTTTCATGCCTTCATGTCTTCGTGCCTTCATGTCTTCGTGTCTTCATGCCTTCATGTCTTCATGTCTTCATGCCTTCATGTCTTCATGTCTTCATGTTTTCATGATGTTTTCGTGTCTTCATGCCTTCATGTCTTCATGTCTTCATGTTTTCATGATGTTTTTATGTCTTCATGTTTTCATGTCTTCATGTCTTCATGCCTTCATGCCTTCATGTCTTCATGTCTTCATGCTTGTTGCTGCAGCTGCTGCGGCCGGAGGAGGTGGAGATGCTGGTGTGCGGCAGCCCGGAGTTGGACATGAGCGCTCTGCAGAAAGCTGCTCAGTATGAAGGCTACAGCAAGATGGACGCCACTGTGAGGTAAACGCCTCCTGCAGAACCTGGACCGGACCAGAACCGACCGGACTCTGGCCTTTGATTTGTTGGTTTCGGTTGTTCGGCTCACTGTGAGACGTGGGGCGGTCCAGAATCTGCTGGTTCTGACCCGCTTCGTTTCCAGACAGGAAAACGAGCCAAAACGGGTCAGAACGCTGAGCAGCCTCTCTGACTCTGAGCTTAGTCAGCACTTTGAGGACCAGAACCTGGCTCCCAGTGCTCCCAGTAAGCAGGGTGTGCTGGTTCCCCTCCAGGTTCTTCTGGGACGTGGTTCTGGCGTTTCCTCTGGAGCTGCAGAAGAAGCTGCTGCACTTCGCCACCGGCAGCGACCGCGTTCCCGTCGGAGGAATGGCCGACCTCAACTTCAAGATCTGCAAGATCGACGTTCCGGCAGACTGGTGGGTTCATGGGACGTCCAACCGTCCATCTGTCCATCAGTATGTCCACCTGTCCCTTCATTAATCCATGGAATAAAATGTAAAAAACCAGAGAAGCCTTCATGCTCCTCCATGTAAACCTTTTGACACGAGATGATAAAAACGAAACCCACTCACCTTCAGACACAAAATAACCTTAAATGTCTTCAGCTCATCTTTAATTTATCGGGATTGTGACCTGTTAGCTTCTCTCCATGTCTGTGTTTTAGCCTCGTAGCGTAGCTGCTTGTTTACTATGAGGTGTCATCTGGACGGCCGGGCTGGATGTTTTCCCATGGCCAAACTTTCCACAGCATTGAAGCTCAGTGAATGGTCGGGGGCCCAGCAGCTCTAATCTCAGCTGTGTGTTGGTCTCTGAAACACCCTGTGTGTGTGTAGGTGTGTGTGTGTGTGTGTATGGGAGAAACCACGCTGCTCTGACAAACAGCTCTCCTTTCACACACACACTGAACACACATGAGCAGCCGGGCCTCTATATGGTCAAACAACAGGATCATGTTCCTATAGCTGCACATATACAGATAGCGCTGCTGGAGGAATCCTCTCTCACACACACACACACACGCACATACACACCCACATGGGCCGGGCCTTCAAGAGGCTCCCAGATAACTTGACCCCCGAATGGAGGCCATTGTGTCATATCTGAAGAAAACTACGTTCACTGAGTTCAAGGCCAGAGTGGGCGGCTGTGAACTCGCTCACCCGCATGATGCTGCTGCTTACGATGCTGCTGCTTACGATGCTGCTGCTGCTGCTTACGATGCTGCTGCTGCTGCTTACGATGCTGCTCCTTATGATGCTGCTGCTGCTTATGATGCTGCTGCGTCCGGTGATGTTTTGGAGGAGAGTTCAGACTCTTCCTGTCTTTCTCTTTATCTTTCCTCATCTTCAGAAACTCTTTAGCTTGTTGACATCTGAATGTTTTTAACCACAAACACGTCAACAAGTTGCTTCTGCCTGATCAGGTGGATCATTTTCAGGTCCTGCAGCCCCAACCTGAGCCCACATCACCATCCCTCCACCACCATGCTGAACAGTTTGCATAAGGCGTTTGGTTTTCTCCTGGTGCGTTATAGTCGAACATTGAAATGTTTAGTTGAGCTGAATGCAGGACCTGTAATTTATTGATCAGGTTTTAATATGAAACTATAAAAAAAAACATTTTCAATGCAAAAACATTTTTGCTGCTAAATTACTGAATTGACAGCATATGAGCTCAATAACAAACGTAGTTAGTATTTTAATCTTATTTGTTCTTCAGGTTCTTCAACCATCAGTCCCTGAAGCAGAAATTCTTCTATTTATCAGTATATTTAATTTGCTGGTTATGAAAATTTCCCCGTTTGGTTTGTGATGGTTTAGTTTTGATGCTGGTTCTGTCAGATTTACAGGCATAACAGTAATGTGTGAATAATGTGGAATTTAATAAAATACAATTAAAATTTTCAGTGTGATAAAATTTATCTCGACAATTATTGGAAATTAAAGCGTTAAAGTCCTGGTTACAACCTTCTCAGGTTGTTGAGCAGCAGCAGTTGCTTCTTCCATCTGAACGCTCCGTTTCTCTGGCAAATGTGAAAACCATCCATGCTCTCATGAACCCAACACATTTACCAGCTTAGCTCTCACCGGCTCCCACAGCTCTTAAACCAGTGTGTGTGTGTGTGTGTGTGTGTGTGGGACATGTTTACAGACTGCGGGTCTTTGTGTCAGAGCTATAGAAAATCAGAGTGAGACCATTAGCCAGAAAATGCTGCCATGAATCCGCTGAGCTTAATTAAAATGCCTCCTTCACGTCTTGCTGGATTTTCCTGTTTTTCCTCTTAAGCTCCTAATCTGCACCTTAAGGTTCCTCTGGATCCTCTGACCCGTAAATACCTCTGAGTCAAAGTAGCTCGGGTTAAGGTTCTGCTTGTTTAGGGCCGGGTTCAGAGGAAACCAGATGTCCCTCTGCTTACTGACACTGAGGCGTTCCCAGGTAAGGAGGGGAGCAGAGACCCCAACACGCCTCGGGTCTGTCCTGGGGACGGGGTCTGTCCTGGGGATGGGGTCTGTCCTGGGGACGGGGTCTGTCCTGGGGACGGGGTCTGTCCTGGTGGACGGGGTCTGTCCTGGGGACGGGGTCTGTCCTGGGGGAAGGACAGGGTCTGTCCTGGGGATGGGGTCTGTCCTGGGGATGGGGTCTGTCCTGGGTACGGGGTCTGTCCTGGGGATGGGGTCTGTCCTGGGGATGGGGTCTGTCCTGGGGATGGGGTCTGTCCTGGGGGACGGGGTCTGTCCTGGGGATGGG